AAATTTTTTTATTCATGTTTTTCTTTCTTTTCTTTCTTCCTTTACTTCTCCGTCATCTTCAACTTCACCTTGTGAAATAGCAGCATACCTAAAAATTTGCTTCTTATCTAAACATTTAATAAGTAGGTAAGTACCAAGTTTAATGCTTAATTTTGGAGGTTTAGTTGGTAAATTTTGTTCTGCTAAACTGGAACGTATTTTTTTGGTTAACGGAGCACCCGTCACCTTCTCCTGGTTCACAACACTTTCTCTGGATCTCTTTCTTTGTTGTTTCTCACCTTTTCTCTTTCCACTGGAGTCATTTGATCAATTTCATTTTTATCGCGGCTTTTTTTAGCTGCCTCTCTGTGTTTCTCCTTATATTTCGCATAATTTCCTTCATCTTTAAGGTTTTGTCTTCTCATTTTTTTCAGCAGCTGTTAAGGCCATTCTGTAAGAAAGAGACATATGATAAGTTTTAATTTATGGAGCTTAACTTAGCAGGATTTCACTATTCTTTTACCTTAAATTAAAATTTTGGTGTATAGATATTTTTTTTAGATATATTGTACAATGTGTTATACCTTTTACATTTAATGGATTATTTGCAACAATAACATCGAAATGTCTGAATTTTACTTTAACTAATACCATTAATTTCCAATAACATCTTTGAGTAATTTCCTCCTTCAATAACTTTTATAAAGTTTTAAACTTAGACTTGTTTGTGATAGGGAGCAAAGCAAGGGAAAGTTGACAATAATAAAAACAACTTATTAAGAATGGAATAAACATGCGAAGAACAAACTTATCTTTATCATACTTATTAACTTATTGCAATAAAACTTAATTTTTATATAATATTTATGCAAATAACATCTTAATTCACTTCCTAAATNGACTGATATCATCTCTTATATAAAAGTTTTTAACTATCTGAAGAGTTTCACTGCTCATAGGATTTTTTCCAATATAATTCTGTATTACAACATTGCGTTCTTGACTCGGGACAATATTTTTCATAAGCTGTTTCACTACTGCCTGCTTTTTACGTGGGGACTTTGGTAATGCCCGTTTGGCACGGGCAACTGCTTTTCCCAATGAACAAGGTGATTTATATGGGTATTGTTGTGATTTAAATGACCTTTCCTTTTTGTTGAATCTTGATTTTGCAACACTTTCTCTGGATCTCTTTCTTTGTTGTCTTCTCACCTTTTCTCTTTCCACTGGAGTCATTTGATCAATTTCAATTTTCTTTTTATCGCGGCTTTTTTTAGCTGCCTCTCTGTATTTCTCCTTATATTTCGCATAATTTCCTTCATCTTTAAGTTTTTGTCTTCTCCTTCTCATTTTTTCAGCAGCTGTTAAGGTCATTCTGTAAAAAAGAGACATATGATAAGTTTTAATTTATGGAGCTTAACTTAGCAGGATTTCACTATTCTTTTACCTTAAATTAAAATTTTGGTGTATAGATATTTTTTTTAGATATATTGTACAATGTGTTATACCTTTTACATTTAATGGATTATTTACAACAATAACATCGAAATGTCTGAAAGTTTTAAACTTAGACTTGTTTTTGATAGGGAGCAAAGCAAGGAAAAGTTGACAATAATAAAAACAACTTATTAAGAATGGAATAAACATGCGAAGAACAAACTTAACTTTATCATACTTATTAACTTATTGCAATAAATCTTAATTTTTATATAATATTTATGCAAATAACATCTTAATTCACTTCCTAAATATAGTATGAGTTACCACATGGTAACTCATGCTACAATAGTTTTATACAAAAAAACATAACAAAACTGGATATTTTGTTTTTGATTAAAACACATAAAAAATTTAAAAAAAATTATTTTTAGGGTAATTGATAGTTTAATAGATTTGCAATGATAACATAAGTTATGTTATATAAGATAAGTTACATAGTTATTAACTATGTTTTAGTAACTCATGCTACTTGTAGTAGACCCTAATATCATTTATGAATAATAGTTATAACTACTTTGATTCTAACAATTTATTTTATTATTTTTATAAGGCTTAGGAATGTATTAATCTGAAACAATCAAGAAATAAAATTTTCATGGCTATAAAATAACAAAATCAACATACCTTTTGCTGAAAATTGAAGTGGTGTAGAACAAAATCTTGTAATAGCTGACTTTAAAGTGTTGCCATCCTGATAAAAAGAAACTCGAACAAAAAATAAGCTGTTGTCACAACTGCTACAATAGTTCAGATTAATTATCCACTTAATTTATTAAGAAATAATTGAAAAAAAAATTTTATGGTCATGTCACTGTTTATATGGAATTGCCCTATTACGTAAATAAGATTCAGAAGTAGTCTATCCTTTACTGTTACGTACATGTTAATAGTAAA